ACCAAAGAAATGCAAGATGTGAAAAAAAATGTAAATTATAAAACTGAACAGCACAATAACTTAAATATTTAAAAACTCACCAGAGTAACTCACTAGTAGAATGAATATGATGGAGGGAAGACTCAATGAACTGAAAGATAGAACAATAGAATTCACCTAATCTGAGGAATGAAAACAACCTAAAAAAATAAAATGAGCAAAGCCTCAGGGACCAGTGGCATAATAACAAAAGCACCAACATGCATATCATCCAAGTCCAGAAAGAGAAGAGGGAGAGAGTGGAGCTAGAAAAAAATACTTGAAGAAATAAAGACTGAAATTTTCTAAACTTCCTAAAAACATAAATGAATATGCCCAAGAAGCTAAGTGAACCCCAAACAGGACAAACTCAAAGAAACTCACATTGAACCACATCATAATTAAAATTCTAAAACCAAAAGACAAAGAAAAAACTCTTGAAGGTAACCAGAGAGAAACAATCAAGAGGGGGAAAATAATTCAAATAACAATAGATTTCTCATTTCAAACCATGAAAGGCCAAAAAGAAGTGACATTTTTCAAGTGCTAAAAGAATTATCATCCCAAAATTCTATATTCGGTAAAAAAAAATCCTTTAGAAATGCAGAAAAATAAAGACATTCTCAGACAAAGGAAATCTAAGAGAATTTTTCAACTGCAGACCTACCTTAAAAAATGGCTAAAGGGGGACTTCCAGCCAAGATGGAGGCATAGGTAGAAATACTTCACTTCTTCCCACAACCAAAAGAAGGATAACAACCAATTTAAAAATCAAAAACAACCAGAACTCCCAGAAAATCAAACTGCATGGAAGTCTGACAACCAAGGAGTTAAAGAAGAAACATTCATCCAGATGGGTAGGTGGGGCTGAGATAGGAAGCTGGTGCAGAAAGGACACATGACAAGGCAGGGGCTGGAGGATGGGACTTCCCACATTCACATGAGGGTAAGCCAGGAGGAACAACTGGGGAGCGAAACAGACCATGCAACCCAGGGTTCCAGCACAGGGAAACAAAGCCTCAAAACCTCTGGCTGTAAAAATACGTGGGGGTTGCTGCAATGGGAGAAACTCCCAGTCTCACAATAGAATATGTTGGAGGGACCCACAGGGTCCTATAATGTGCACAATCCTACCTGCCCAGGAATCAGCACCAACAGGACCCAATTTGCATGTTGGAAGTGAGGGAAGTGATAGAAAGTGGGGTGAGAGCTGAGCAATGAGTAAGCAGCATTGTTCACTCCCTGACCCCTCCCCCACATACAGCACCACAACCCAGCAAAGTGAGTTGTCCCACCCTGGCGAATACCTAAGGCTCTGCCCCTTACAAGTAACAGGTGAGCCAAGACATATGACCCAAATGAAAGAACAGATCAAAACTCCAGAAAAACAACAAAGCAATGAGGAGAGAACCAACCTAACAGATACAGATTTCAAAACACTGGTAATCAGGATGCTCACAGAATTGATTGAGTTCAGTTGCAAAATGAAGGAAGAAATGAAGGCTATATAAAGTGAAATAAAGGAAAATACATATGGAACCAACAGTGAAGAAAAAGAAACCAGAACTCAAATCAATGATTTGGAAGAAAAGGAAGAAATAAGCATACAACCGGAACAGAATGAAGAAACAATTCAAAAAAGTGAGGAGAGGCTGAGGAACCTTTTTGGGACTTTAAACATTCCAACATCCGAATCATGGGGATGCCAGAAGGAGAAGAGGAAGACCAAGAAGTTGAAAACTTATTTGAACAAATAATGAAGGAGAAGTTCCCCAATCTGATGAAGGAAATAGACTTCCAGGAAGTTCAGAGAGTCCCAAAAAAGTTGGACTCAAGGAAGCGCACACCAAGGCACATAATTACATCACCCAAGATTAAAGGTAAGAAAAGAATCTTAAAAGCAGAAAGAGAAAAGGAGACAGTTACCTACAAAGGAGTTCCCATAAGACTATCAGTTGATTTCTCAAAAGAAACCTTGCAGGCAAGAAGGGGCTGGAAAGAAGTATTCAAAGTGATGAAAGGAAGGACCTATATCCAAGATTACTCTATCCAGCAAAGCTATCATTTAGAATGGAAAGGCAGATAAAGTGCTTCTCAGATAAGGTCAAGTTAAAGGAGTTTATCATTACCAAGCCCTTATTATATGAAATGTTAAAGGGACTTATCTAAAAAATAGAAGATCAAAAATTATGAACAGTAAAATGATGACAAACTCACAACTATCAACAACTGAACCTAATAAACAAAAACTAAGTGAACAACTAGAACAGGAACAGAATCTCAGAAATGAAGATCACACGGAGGGTTATCAGTGGAGAAGGGGAGGAGAGAATGGGGGGAAGGTACAGGGAATAAAAAACATAATTGGTAGGCACAAAATAGACAGGGGGAGGTTAAAAATAGTATAGGAAACAGAGAAGTCAAAGAACTTATATGTACAACACATGGACATGAACTAGGGAGGGGAACTCTGGAGGATGGGGGGTGCAGGGCAAATGGAGGATAAAGGGGAGAAAAATTGAGACAACTGTAATAACATAATCAATAAAATATACTTTAAAAAATTAAAATAGCTAAAGGAAGCTCTCTAAATAACAAAGAAATGATAACAAAAGAAGGCTTGAAACTGTAGAAAAGAAAAAAGAACAATGGATAGGGTATGAATGAATGAATTACCTTATCTTTCTCCTTCTGATGGGTGAATCAAAAATTATAACCTCTTCTAATGTCATGCTCAATGTATATAGAGAAGTACTCAAGACAACTGTATTTAAAAAGTGGGAAAGGAAAAAGAACCTAAATGCAAGCTTTTTATACTCACTTGACATGATTAAACATTGATATTAATAGATTTTGATATATTATGTATGTATATTATCATGCCTAAAGCAACCACTAAGAAAATGATACAAAGTGATCAAAAGCATTATTGTAAATAAATCAAAAGAGAATTCTAAAAAATGTTTATGTAACAAAGAAGAAGGAAATAAAATAAAATATTAAATATAGTTAAATATATTAAACATAAAATAAATTCCTATTTCAGAGTAATGAAAACAGATGAAAAATCAAATAATAAAATGGCAGATTGAACTCCTAAAAGTAATTTACCTAAATACATTAATTAAAAGTAGAGATTGGGGAATAGATTTTAAAATATGTGATTTAGCAATACACTATAAGTAACCCAATCCAAATACAACATAGATAGGTTGAAACTGAAAATTGGAAAAGAATATACCATAAAAACATTAATCAAAATGAAAAACATTAATCAAATCTTATGCAAACCAATTTCACCCATGATGTTTCTGCCAAAATTTCAAAATTGATTTTCCCAAGTTTCCAACTGATTTAAACATATCCTTGTGCCTTACTTCCTTCACTTCCTTTCCCCCATTGCTACTCTAAGTTTCTGATTCTGTTAACAAAGTGGATCTTTTTTCAGCCACCCAGATTGAAATTTCTCCAATTTTTATCAGATTCTGTGACTCTTCCATTCCATGTTTCTTACACCAAGCCCTGAATTCTGTTCCCAGCATGGAGAATCTATACTAGTTCAGGCTTTCCTTTCACAATACCTCCAAACTGGCCTCCACTTTCTTCAACCCAGGTTAGTCATCCTCAATACAGCATTGAAATGGCTGTTATTGCCTCCTGAACAAAAGACAGTGTCCTGATTTATCAGGTTTTCTGAGTTTTGCCTACAAATTCTCACTGATCCGTTTGTTCCTGTCCAACCAGACATCACTGGTTCCTAAAAATGCATCCATGCTTTTCCATCCTTGTAGTTCACTGGCCAGAATACCTTTCTTCCATCTCCATCGGAAAATTACCTTTCTTCAGGGCTCACCTCAAATACCACCTCCATCATGAAGGTGGTATTAGAACAGGCATTCAGCATGAAATGCTATCGTTGTCACCAGGCATAAGCCCTTTTTTCTCTAAAATCTTCATAAGGTATTTTACCTTTCCTATAGTGCTTATACAGTCTGTCTAGTCTCAACTGATTTGCATCTTTGACTCCTCTCCCCTAAATTCTAAGTTCCCAAAGGCACCAATGGCATCTTCATCTTTGCACCTGCACCACCCACTCTCCACAGTGCCAAGTGAAGTACAGTGTACATATTAAAGGTTTAATAAATATTTGTTGAATAATTTAAGAGGCAACTTTATCTCTTTACATCAAAACATTATTTCTCTCTTTATTCATCACAGTTTTGAATTCTTAGCTTTAAAACCTAAAATGTTAATGTCAGCTAAATTCAATACTTGTCCTGGAACATAAATTATTTTATGTACAAAGAAATAGTTATTCTATTATGTAAATAAAAATATACATAAATGTATTTTAGTATTTATATGCACTATATAAATTTTATAAGTATATAACTTCTAGATGTGTTTATATTTTTTAATCCTTTTACCAAATAATATGACTTTTAGTAAAATTTCAAAAAAGTTGCCATGGAAAAGATGCAAGAGGGAATCAAATACATCCTTAAGATAACTTTTTTGGCCTTTTAACAATAAAAGAGTTTACCCTAGCAACATCAATAGAAAGAGACCTGAATTGTTAGGAAGAATGTAATTTTGCATAGTTTGTATGTGTAGTTTTCCTCAGTGGGTTTTCCGTGGCCCGTAACCCCCATCTCAGTTGATTTTCTCAGCAGCTTGTCCTTGCTCCCATCGACTCCATCTGCATCAACATGTGCAGGAAATAAACTCAATGTAGGGTACTGACCCAAGCAAAACATAATTTCAAAAGTGCAGCATATATTTAAAATACATGGTGGGTCCCAAAACTATGATTATGTTTTACTCTACACTCTAAACTATGCAGACCACTACTCCCATTCATTACTGCAATTATCTGTACACATAATTATTTTTTATTGCTAATTTTACACCAGTGATTATCCATTTCAAGAAAAACATTAGCACTTGTTTCTAATTAAATATTTACTGCTTATGTCTTACAGACCAGACACCAGGTTCTTCTTTAGACTGGGCTTACACCATGGGCATCAAGCACACATTTGCCTTTGAGCTCCGAGATGAAGGCAGATTTGGTTTTCTCCTTCCGGAATCTCGGATAAAGTCAACCTGTAAAGAGACCATGCTTGCTGTCAAATATATTGCCAAGTATATCCTCAAGAATACTTCCTAAAGAATTGCCCTCAGTTTGGAATAAGCCAATTAACTCTTCTTTGTGCTTCTCATCAGAATGTCAATCTTCAATTATCCCTAAATAATGCTTCCACATCACCTGACTCTTGCTCATTTAAGTACTGTATTATTTCTTTTTGCTTTCATTTTCTCTCAGTAGCAACTTAACAAATAGCTTTAAACAAAAGATGTTAACTGCCTTTCTTTGTTTCAAGTAAAGTTTAAAACCTGCACAAAGTATTATTTTGAGTATTTTCAAAGGTGAAATAAAGTGGGTCATAAGAAAGACACGAGAACCCTCAGTTTCTCCAGAATCAGATTTTCACAGTGTGGCTTCATCATTTTATGTGCTAATATAATAAAAATAAAACACATTCCAAAATGCATCTTGTTTTTTATAAACTATATTCTCTACATTCCTCTATTAGCATTAATAATCAAGCATTAATATTTCTCATGCATACTGTTAAAAAGGAAGAATATCTTCAATTTCAAAAACATATTTTGCTTACATATGTACATTTTTAAATATACCTAGGCATTGTTTGTGTCTTCACAACAGCAAAAGGATATCCTAACAGGAAATAAAATAGTTCATGTAGAGATGATTCTCAGTGCTTTAAACCAGTTCCCATCAATGTAATATATATTAAATTCAAAATAGTTTAACCTGACACAACCAAAGGGAACTACCTCCCAAAACATCCCTTGGCAGTTATAGACACAGCTAACACATCGGGTCAGCTGTGAGCCCTGGCCTCGTCAGAAATTGAAAGGAAGCCTGAAAATGTACTACAAGTTGAAAAGAGAAAAAGTCACGCTGACCAAGGGCAATTGGGGTAATTTATACCTTCATACTGTGTATAATCCTATTGTTTAAGAGAGTGTTACAAAGTACCTTTTCCCCAGTCTTAACTCTTCAGTACTTCATCATGTGATGACAGTGGTGTCTGCATTCTAGAAATCCAGACCATAGATGCCTGACAGAATCTGAAGCCAAGGAGAAAGTTTCTTAACTTCCTTTAAACTTACTTTTCAGAACATTCTAGAAAAATTTTGGGAGGATCCACCAGATCCTGAGAAAACAGGTCAACAAATCCTCTGTCTGGCACATTCCTCATGAATACTTTAGGGGCCCATAAAAGAAAGAGTACCATCAAATCTACAGGTGATAGTGTTTCTGACAGTTATAAGGTAGGTAAAGGTAAATGTTTTCCATGTAAAATTGTCTGGGAGAACCAACAGTAACAAAATTGCTTTATAAATAGAGGAAAGAGAAAATGATAGAGTCAAGAAAGTACAAGACAAAACTGTGGTTATGAGATTAAGTTGTACTTTATAAAAAATATAATATCTATGCCTAAATATTTACATTCAAAACTGGCTCAGAACATAGGAATGTAAATTTGTTCCAATAAACATGCCATATGGGAATTATACACTCATTTGCATTTACTCACTCAACTGAGAAAGGACTAGAAGAAATTCTAACGTTAAGATCTGCGTAACTACTTCTAACTCCATTGGGTGAGTAGATGGAGGAAGCAAGAGGGTAATCCCAATTGTTGAATATCATCCTGTGTTCATCCATTATTCAGTTTATAAAGGATGCAAAAGTTTTATGTGCTATTTTATTAAGCAAGTATGTAGTTTTACATTTATTTTCTCAAAGAGAGGAAAATCATTCAAGTAAAAATTCTAACAAGATTGTTTCTTATCTGAATTAAACAGCTTTTGCGTGGTATCAGAGAATTTTGCTGCTTTGTCTTCATATAAATTGTGAAGATAAATAGGTAAAGAAAAATATCCATGTTAAAATTAAAAACTAAAACTTTATGGGAAAGCTTGAGTACCTAAAGCTGTTATTCTTTCCTTGACATTTCTCATTTATCAGTAAAAGGACTTTTTACCCAAGTTACAAATTATGCAGTCTCTTATAATATGTCTCACACACATACAAAATAATCTTCTAAATCATCATTCCTTTTCTAATGTTCTTACTACCAAGTTCACTCAAAGGACCATTGTTTTGTATTTTGAAAAATTTTAAAGATTTTATTTCTTTTTAGAGTGGGGAAGGGAGGGAGAAAGAGAGAAAGGGAAGCATCAATGTGTGGTTCCCTCTCACATGCCCCAAGTAATAGGATCCTGGACCTCAACCCAGGCATGTGCCCTAGACTGGGAATCAAACCTCCAACCCTTTGGTTCTCAGGCCACCACTCAATCCACTGAGCCACACCAGCCTGAGTAATATTTTGAAATTTTTTTCTGGCAGTGTTCTAGTGTCTGAGACATGGAGGTAGAGAGGGCAAAGGAGGATAAATGGTGATGGAAGGAGACTTGACTTAAGGTAGTGAACACATGATATAATATACAGTTTATGTATTATAGAATTGTACACTTGAAACATATAATTCTATTAACCAATGTCACCCTAATAAATTCGATAAAAAAGTTTTAAAAATAATGAAATAAGTAAATAAATAAAAGATCTTATTATTTTTACTAGTGTAAAAAAAATTGAGTTTCCAAAGGGTATCATGACTCCAAACTGATTTTAAAATGTCTTATCAGAGGTACCCTCCCCACATCCTACACATCAGATACATTCTACAATTACAAAGTGCTCCTTGGCTAAGTAAACAATAGGCTCACTGACAAGTCTGCTTCTCATTTAAGACAAATATCGATGCCTGATTTTCTTTAGATGAAAAAAATAAAGTAATTCCCAGAGAAACTACAGATCACTGAGAATGCACAAATTCTCTCTGTCCTCAGGTTCTCCCCTAGCAACTTGTTCTCACAAAGTGTTTACATTAACTTTGGCCATTCCAAATGGATGGACATATACCTAAAAGTTGTTGAGAGCACACTTTAAGTGTTCTTAATGCACAAACACACACACACACAATTATGTGAGGTGATGAAGGGGTTAACTAACCCTGTTGTGATAATCATTTTACAACATATGCATGTATCAAATCATCAAGTTGTACATCTTAAATTACACAGTGTCTATGTCAATTGTATCTCAATAAAGCTGGAGGAAAAAAGAAGAAAATATGAGGCTCTTAGAGAAGCTATGATATTTGTAACTGCACATTTACAATATTTTGAAGCAACTTTTTTGTCTCAAAATATTAACATATTTACATATTTTCACTCAAAAAATTAACCCATTGAAATAGGAGAAGCTGTGTTCTACCATTTAGTAAACAATTTTTAGAGAATTATATGAAGTTCAGATTACCTCTGGTGATGAAAGATGACTCCTTTTCATTCAACCAGTGATATATAGAAAATTATAAGTGAAATTTAAATTAGGAGTAACAAATAAATGCAACCTCCCAAATTAGAAGGCTTTATTACATAAAACCACATTAAAAGCAACAACATTTACTGAACAGTGTAGCTAATATGAATACATGGCAATATTTCATAGATTATGCCTTTACAATTCTTACTTCTTCCAACACAATTGTATTTCATGATTAAAATACCAACCCACTTTTCTATAATGAGTAGAAATGAGTCATAATAGCATCTTGGAAATCTCAACAGCATATAGGCTACTGTCAGAAATTCCTTAGGCAAAGCTTTTTGGAGACTCTCTTGCATTTCATTGTCACAAAATCCATTATACCAGGACAGATCTCAGCCTGCCTGAGTAGCGTCTATGTGAGGGTTATAATTTTGTCATAAAAATTTACTCTCACATGAACTTAGCATAAAAGGTCTCAGTCCAGAAAGTAGGAATTGAAATGGATATATTATCACTTGAACTGCTTTTTTGCTCACTTATCCTTCAATTACAATGTGCCTTAAGTTCACTAGTGTCAAGAGAGGTGAAACCAAAAAAAATGTTAAACAGTTTTTGAAATATGTGAGGAAAATTTGACACTTAATGTTGTAAATGCATTATTATTGCCATGGTATCACTGAAGTGTGTTATTGACTTGGCTCATTTTACACTGTGGAGTCAAGGCTTAAAAGTCTATTCATGAAACAAAGAAAAACCTGTATCTCTCGCTCCATATATAACAGAAATAAGAACTCTGGTTTATTTTTTTATTTTAAATTCTCCAATTCCTTTTTAATTAAATCTCTGCAAAACTTAAAAAATCAAGAGGTAATTAAATTTTAATGGGGCAAAGGGTGGGGGTGAGAAGGAAAAGTTCTGAGAACTGTAATCATACTGGCAGTAATAATCATATGAAAAGGAACGTTTGCATAGCACTGGTAATTCAAAAATTGCCCTCCCGTGCATGTCTGCATTTGATCACAACTCTGTGAGACTGAGTTGAGGGGATGCTATTTATTATCCACATTTCACATGTTAGAAACCATGACTCAAAGTGTTTAAGTGACTTACATATACAAAGGTGCAAACTGAAACTAGATCTTCACACTAAAAAATTCAAATTATTTTCACTACACCACACTGTTTAATGGTCATTACTTCTCTAGAAGGCTGAGAGGGAGAAAGGTTATTTAATTTGTGACTCATCAATTTAGGTCCTAATTCTAGAACCTTGCTAATGGCCCATCATACATGCTTCTAGATGATGTAGACAAGGTATTCTCACATTTGAATGCATACTGGAACCCCCCCCCCCCCCCCCCCCGGAAGCTTATTAAGGTGCAAATTGCTGAACCCCTCCCCCACATAATGCTGGTGCTGCTGGTCCACCACCCACACTTTGAGAACCAGTGACAAAATAATTCTAAAATTTCCTTCAGCTTTTTGATAAGATTTTTCAATGACTTTAGTGATATTTAATTGTGCAGTTTATTTGCAAATGTAATTTACTCACAGGCTTTATCTTCAATTAAAATTTTAGACTGAAAATCAAGTAAACAGAATAGGGATTTTTTTCATTAAAATTTTCATCATCCATAAAAATGTTTGTAAATAACAAACCAAGTGTTCAAACACAAACTTACAAATTTCAAATCCACTCAACATGAAAATGTTTTAAATATACATCAGTAAATAAGGATAATAAGGGTCCCTGCTTTGAAATTTTGTTGATTCTATGAATTGTAACATAGCTGGCATTAATTCATTATAATTATTTATAGTTTATTTTTATTTATTAATTTGGAATGTTTTAAGTTTTTATGTTAAGTGTCATATCCAAATCCATTTTCAGATCATAAAAACTGTGACCGCCACCAAAGCCCACCATGTCTGTTGAGGAAACTGCTTTAGGATCCATTGTAAAAATTCCCTTGGCAATGAGCAATAGCTTCCTTAATAGTAAAACTAAGCAAGTTCTTGAAAAATATTTGCAGAAATAATTTTGGAGTCAACAGCATTTGTTTCATTGAAGACCAAGGGGAGGATTCCAGCTGACGTGGTCCTTGGCCATCACTCACAAGCT